AAATAAGATTTATATAAATATCAAAGGTCAAGATAAGAATTACAGTACTAATACCCATTAATTACAAAATATCAAAGTCTAGGAGGCATGCTTAGGGCTAGCTCTAGCCCCAAGAACATGTTTAGCCACTCATTGATGTTGTCATCCAACCCTCAAAGGCTATCTTTATGCTATAAATGATCTTCTTCCTCCTTGGTGGAAACCCTGGAAGAGAGGAAGAACTTTCCCAATTTAAGTATTCTCTCTTTAAGCTCTAGCCAAGTCTCTCTAACCTTTACCAACCTTTACTCAAAATAGCCAAAATCCTTATATAGGTAGCTCAAATGTCACACCCAATGATTAGACCTCGTGCACTAGGACCTCCCAATGATTGTACCACGAGCACACATTTAATTTGGCTTGAAATCAACTTTTTATGTAACTCGAGGCAGTTCGATCGATCTCAAGGTTGGTTCGATCGATCGAACCTTGGTAACACCTTTTTGGAATAAAGACAAGGCTAAGATATTTTTGGGAAGAGGACAAAAGTGGTAGGTGAGGATAAGATCAAAGATGTTCGATCGATTGAAGAATTATTTGATCGATTGAAGAGGGTATTTTGCTGAGGATAAGGAGAAAAGGCTTGATCCATCTTGGCATTGTTGGAACTATCACTGTGTGATCGATCTGAGATCTGTTCGATTAATTGAAGAGTGCTTCCTTTCACCAACTTGCTTTCACTTTGCTCCTTCTTCTATTGAGCTTGAGATTGTATCTTTTATTCTCTAATTCAGCTGGATTAACTTATTTTGGGATAAGTGCCTGAAAAGGGAAATAACATGAAATTAGATTAGAATGGGAAAATAAGATAAGATAAGGTACTAGAACGTTCAAGCTTAAGGGGTTTAAATGTACACTTTTTAGCGCTCATCACACCCCCAAACTTAAATATTGCTAATCCCTAGCAATAAACTACAAAGTAAAGGAATGAAATGAATAACAAAACAATTATGAACTAGAAAGCAATAAATGGATAACGCCACTTTCATAGGGAACACGATTGCATTTAGCACATGTAACAAGCCTTTTAAACCCCTAGGTTACCCTTAATAGACGAGTGAAGTATCGTGAGGCTTCCAGAAATGATACCCATAAAAACTAAGCTCATTCTCACAAAAGAGGCACCAATATTGCTAGCAAACATTGGGAGAAAACTACCTCAAGCATGTAATTTTTCAACCATTTCTAAGCAATCTCCTAAAATCTCAACATCAAACCAATAAACATGGTCATCCACACATCAAGAAAATGATCATGCAAATTAAAACAACTCTAGAATCCTTTCGAGTAGACCGGCATCAAATATGTTGCTACCTAAGCTAACTAAAGAAATAATCACATCCTTACCCTCAAACTAGCACATAAATCTAGTACTAATCATCAAGACAAAGAGTGGACCTTTTATTAAAGCTTTATTCAACTACGCAATTATTTTTTTCAATCGAACTTTCTTCTTCTTTTTTTTTTTTTTTTTTTTTTTTTTTTTTTTTTTTTCTATCTTTAAGGATTAAAGATGGAAGCATAAGTGCAATGTGTTGATCTATTAAGCTTTCTAGCGATCTAAGAGGTCGAGCGTTAGGTCAATGACTCCCAAACCGGACGGCTTTAGAGTATTAGGTGTTAAAACAACCCTAAAGACTTACAAGCTCAAATCAACTAGGCTACAAATCAAAACAACCTCCATCTAATCATTTCCCACTTCTCACCTTTTGGGAGAAGTCCTCACTTTTTTTATTTGCTTTTGCAACAACGTTTTTTTTTTTTTTTTTTTTTTTTTTTTTTTTTTTTTTTTTTTTTTTTTTTTAGCAAGTTCAATTATTAACTTAGAGTTTGGGCCATCCACCTTTCAGCGTGAGAAATTCAGTGCTTGATGAGGCTAGAATCTCGGCTACTCAATGAAAATGGTTTGTTTTCCACCTTTATCAAGAATGAAAGCTTTCAATGCACTACTAACTCAATTGGGATATAACCAAATCAATAATCAACAAAGCATGTACCCCACAAATGAATGCTAGTGTGCGCCTATGCTAGTGTAGAATCCTAGAGTGAATCTCAAGATAATCACAAAATCAAGATGATTTGGACCACAAATGCAAGCAAGATATCAATATTTCAAAAAATTTACTCCTAAATGGCATCCACACGGCATATAAGGAGTATTGGACTCTCAAGTCAAACAATTTTTAAATTTTAAGTGATATAGTCCTCAAAAGATCAAAATCATAGCTAGTCATGTACCAATCATAGAAAATCCCTCAAATGCACAAGTCATGCTTAAAATATTGAATTGAAAACAAATACTGCAAATAACACACATTACCCCCCCCCCCCCCCCAAAACTTAAATGGCATAGTGTCCTCAATGTGCAAAGAGAACAACAGAAAGAAGAAAGAGTATACCAGAGCATCTATGGCAAAGAATGGTCGGGACATAAGTATCCGAAGTGGGTGGTTCAACTCCCCCAAACTTGGGATTAACTGTGGTCCTGAAAAGGTGGCACTAAGATAAAATCTCATCAGATAACAAAGTGGATAATAATGGTGCACAGTTGACATGCAAGTGTAAGTGGGATAGTAAATGCAAATAGAGAGAGAGAGATAAGGGTGAACCTGAAAAAGTATGGGCTACACTCTCTCACTGAAGTCATTGGATGTACCTAATAGTGGAGTCAATCAACAATATATATATCCATATAATAATCTGACATCCAAAAATATTATGCACGTCCTTCCTCAAATCGTCAGCAGAAGGTACCACTAAACGTCCCTTGTATCGCAAGCCTCCGTTAGTCCTAACATAGTAAAATGGAACTTCCCCAGAAGCTATCTCTGCAACTTTTTCGATACACTGCTGATCGGTGAGTTATGCTTGCAAAATCTTGTGAATGATGGAAGGTGTAACCACCATGCAAGCCAGAAAAGCATCCGACAACTCATCTATATTCTTCAAAGCATTCCACTCAGTGGTGAACAAAGCAGAAAGACTACCAACAGGTCGGCGACTGAGTGCCTCTGTCACCACATTCACTTTCCCTGGATGGTACTGTATAGAAAAATGATAATCCTTAACAAACTCCAACCATCTGCGCTGTCTTATATTCAGCTCCCACTGAGTGAACAAATACTACAGACTCTTGTGATCACTAAACAACTTGAAGGACTCACCCAACAGATAATGCCTCCAGATGCATAAGGCAAAGACCACAACTGCCAATTCCAAATCATGTGTTGGATAATTAAGCTCATGAGGCTTAAGCTTCCGAGATCCATAAGAAATCGGTTGTTCCTCTTGCATTAAAACACATCAAAGACCCTACAACGAAGCATCCGTGTAGACAAGATACTCTATCTCACTCTGTGGAGTAGCCAGAACCAGTGCAGAAGTCAACTTCCTTTTGAGCCCATCAAAAGCTCGCTGACAATGGTCATCTAGCACAAATTGTACACCCTTCTTGGTCAGATAAGTGAGTGGTCCTGCTATCTTAGAAAATCCCTAGATGAATCACCGATAATATTCCGCCAAACCAAGGAAACTCTGAATCTTGATAGGTGAAGTAGGCTGTCCCCACTCAACCACAGCTAAAACCTTGGCTGGATCTACTGCAATCCCCCTTTCTGACACTATGTGACCCAGAAACTTCACTTCACGCTGCCAAAATTCACACTCCTCGAACTTGGCATACAACTGGTGTTCACGAAGCTTCTGCAAAACTATTTGTAAACGTCTCACATAGTCGTCCTCTGACCTCGAGTAAATTAAAATGTCATCTATGAAGACAATGACAAATTGATCCAAGTAAGCCCTGATGACTCTGCTCATTAAATCCATGAAGACCGCTGGTGCATTAGTCAACCCAAACGGCATCACCCGAAACTCATAGGATCCATATCTAGTGAGAAATGCTATCCTCGGAACATCCTGCTCCCGAACTCGAAGTTGATGATACCCTGACCGCGGATCAATCTTAGAGAAATAGGTAGCTCCCTTCAACTGATCAAACAGATCATCTATCTTGGGCAATGGATACTTGTTACGAATCGTAACATTGTTCAACTCCCTGTAATCTATACACAGGTGGAGCGAACCATCCTTCTTTTTCACAAATAACATTGGCGCTCCCCAGGGTGAAGTACTCCAGCGAATGAAACCCTGGCTAAGTAACTGCTGAATCTGATCCCTCAGCTCGTGCATCTCTACTAGTGCCATCCTATAAGGTGCCTTAGCAATAGGCGTAGTGCCTGGAGCTAAGTCAATAACAAAATTGATTTTACGACTAGTTGGCAACCCTGGAATCTCCTGAAAAACATCCAAAAATCCTGTACAATTGGTAAATGATCTAATGATACAGTAACCTCCTCCTCCGTTTCCTTCTCCACATAGAACAAATACGTGCCAGTGCCTCCATGAGAACGTGGCATAGCTACAACGTACAACTCCTGACCAGGTATGGTGAAGACAATAGACCTATCATAACAGTTAACTTGGGCATGGTAACGCGATAACCAATCCATCCCATACATCACATCATATGGGTGCATGTCCAGGACCAAAAGACTGGCTAGAAATCTGAGCCTGCAAAAATCTAGTGTCCCAACCAAACTATCCAAACCAAAATTCTAAAAACTACGTAGAACAAAACACAGAAGGTACGCGAAATACCCCGTAAAGTAAAACATGTAAAGTAAACAAAATAATCAGAAAACGACCCACTTTTAGATTATTGTTCTATCCTGGGAATTCCACCTTTGAAACCGTACCTACCATATTAATTACACAAGTTCTTTTATAAACTCCTCGGTAATCATTCCGTTTTAACACAACGAACCTATGAGCAAAGCTTTGCGTGCTTGCTCCAATACAATCACTCTACTGTGATATTCCTTAATCATCACCTCACACACAATCCAACACAGTTTAAATAAACCATATGTGTATAAATCCAACAATACCATCATAAACCACAAAAGAGATAGCCAAAACCACCAGTTTACTTTATTAAATTTTTTTTTTTTCCAAGTCATGAACTTCCAAAAGAATAATCATAAAATATTCTTTAACAAAACTAGTGTATTTGATCAAATCCATACTACACTTTTAGTAATCCTTCCTTTACTACTAGTAATCAAAATTACTTTTAAAAGAATAGTCATCCATGAGCTCCGGTGCCTTCCATCTTAGATGCTCTGGTATCTCCTCCATCCTGAACTTCTTCGGGGTCTTCATCTCCACTTGACTCAGCTTCGAGCACCACCGAAGTTGTGTTAGGTCCACAGTATGGTGGCTAATCCCGCACACAAGAAACCTTCCTTGCCTTATACTCCTAGACAACACTGACTGGATACAAGTCCTGGGTCTCCAGCTTTGCCTTCTTGGTCGGCCTTCGCAAAGGAATCGTTGGAGTAATCTTCTTCTTCTTTAGGTCCTTCTTTGCCTTCATTGCAGACCACATCCTTCTCCTTGTGCTAAACATTCTGAAATTATAAAATAAACTTGACATCAGTATGTTCTTAACGAACCGTAAAGGAATTCAACGAATCCTAAACTTAAGCTCTAATCAAGAGATAACGCTACGCGGAAGTCTTAAACGATAGAATCCTAGAGACACTTGAACCTGGAGTGCTCTGATACCAACTATGATACCCCTCAGATCCGAGACACGGGTTGATCAGGCCCAGGCCCAAACCTGAGGGAAATATCGAACAATTAAAGTATTTTAAATCGAACATGGAATTCAAAGTGAAATAAGAAATAAAATTAAATAGCTGGAAGAAACTAAATTAATAAACCTTGATATATAAATATTTTAAATCCGATAATCCAAACCACCAATCTATACAACTCGGGAATCCTTCTAGAGGACCCCTAATAAAAAGTCTTGAACTGGAAATAAAACATAAAGCTAAACATAGAGAGTGGTCCTATGTAGTCAATGGAATGGAAGTCTGTATCTGCTCTGCACGATCAACCTCTAATTCTGGAACTGCCAAGCACCTGAAAAATAAAGGAGTGGGTCAAGCCCATATGCAAGTCCTGATCTACTACGATGCAAACAGTAATCTGATAAGCAGATACATCCTAGAAAGACTCAACAATATCTAGAGTAGTCCATATATGTATCTATAGTACACACTATAGGACGCTCGCTAGTCCAGTAGATCTGTCTCAGCCTGAATAGAAGGCAACATGCGAATACGCACCCGAAGGTGGGCATGAGTACCTAAACCTACCAGGGAATAACACCTATGTCCAGTTATCCATCCTAGGCGATATACGCGCCCTAACCATGGTCCTGAGACTTAAGCTCATACCATGACACATATAATAAATATATAAATTCCGTACTCCTAATACAAAATATCATCCATCTGTATAGTGGTCTGATATGTATAACAAATCCATCCTGAAACCATAATAGGTCATTCAATTTATTTGATTGACATGACACAAGTAGGTGATGGACTTAACTTTTATGGTTCATCCATGACTTAATCCAAATTAGGTAGGACTTAGTGTTTTGAACTAATCCATTCCCAATATAGGTAGGTCTTAGTGTTTTGAACTAAGCCATCCCTAATATGACACCGTCCCATACTGGTTCATATATATCCATATAAGTAAGACTTAACCTTTTTGTGGTTAATCCAACTCATTCCAATTTAGGTAGGATTTAGTGCTTGAACTAATGCATACTTAGTATGTCACCGTCCCATACCGGTACATACAATCCTCCAGTTAATATAGTTGACAAACAATATTAAATAATCATCAACCATTATCCATAATATGCCTAAATACCATTTAATACATATAACAAGTCAATAGGAATTATTATAGAATCCAAACATCACATTTTAATTATTTAAAATGCTAATACAAGTCATAGTATTCCAATCCTCCATAGAATCCTTAAATTGATAGAAGTTATAAAACAAACATATCAATTTATTCCAAATCAAGAATAGATGATTTCAAGCACTTACTATTCTTATACTTCTATTTAAATATAATTAAACAATAAATTATGTAATACAGAAATTCCAAACTCCAGTACATAGCTTAATGCTCAAAATAGTCGATAAATGGATACAATTATAACAATTTGAGTATCCAATTTAAACCCAAACTAGGTATAGTTAAATATAAGTAATTCACAATACTTATAATACTAGAATAATATTCAATTATACATATTTGGATCATATATAAAAACCTTACCATATTTCAGTAATTAAAATCAACAAGACAGTGTGCAAGCTACCAGTTTTCTATTAGGTTCTTCTTACTCTATTCTTCAATCCAATTATGAATTTATATTTTCCCATCATAATACAAATCTTATATAGTCCTACACATCACTTTAAACTAATTAAACAAAGTGCAGAATCCAGTTTAGCCCAAACAGCCTTTAAAATAAACAAAACTGTGCGTTTTAAAAGACAGCAGGCTCTAGAAAAATTGGAGCTTGCTCTTTTCCATCTAGAGCTGGCTCTAGACTCTTTAGAGCCTGCTCTAGTACACCAAGAGCCGGCTCCACCTTCCTAGGAGCCGGCTCTAAAAGGATTGGGAGTCTGCTCTCTCTCCCCTTAGCAGCCTATGTTTGTTTCATCTTCGTCTTCTCCGATTTCTGTGAGTACCAGTCCTCTGTAGTACTTTTAAATCCCTGTTCTAGGTTTAATCTTAGTCCTAGATAATTTTAAACCACTGAGATCCAATCCTAACATGTGTAGGAACATAAGTTTTAAAGCCACGTTTATAGAACCTCCGTTATAAATTTTTAAGCAAATTACAACAGATTTAATTCAGAGTAATTTAGTGAAATTAAATAATGTTCCAAGCACTTTTTTTAGAGTTCAAATACAGTTTTAGAGTGATTACAAGGCATCCAAACATCCTACTAATCTCAATTAAAATAACACTTAACCGTAAACCACAGCAAGAACAAATAGTAGAATATTAACAATTTTTGCAAAACAATTAATTCACAAGAGTAAACGAAATTCATACATGCATATAAAACTTGTTATAAAGTTTATTTAAGTCCATTTTATCCTTGTTTTAATCCCTGGAGTCTAACTAGGCAAGCACAGAACACGAATTAACGGGAAAGAGAATAACAGAGACTTGCCTTGAGACTTTGGATTAAAATCTCTAACTATCGTCTCTATCAACTCCGGCAACGTCGGTTGTGTTAAACTACCTCTGCTGCTCCTAATTTAGTCCCGAACTCATCCTTGAATCCCTCTTTTAATCTCTCAGTTGCTCTCTGTATCTCATGGTCTCTCTGTTTTTACAGAATTTGGCTTAGTTTTCTAAAACCCTAAACCACCATATTACTTATATTTATAGGTGAATCATGATAACCCTAATCCATGTATAATTAGAGACAAAGCCCTAATTGCAATCCTAGCCGGCCTATGAAATCTATGTCGGCTAAAACAAAACCCTCAACCACCTAAATCCTAAATAATTTACGTATTCTAACCTAACTCACTTAAGGCCATTTAATTTTTTTTTTTTAAATAACCTTGACATCAATTGAGTTAATTAACAAATAAGGAACAATAATTAAATAAATAACAATAAAACAATTAAGTAATAATATAACAATTATACTAAATTAACAAGTAAAACAAGTAAATCCAAATAAACAGGAAATACTACAATTAACTTCATAAAAATGCAATTAAATAAAATAAATAAATTCCAGGACTGTCCTTTTAAAATTAGGGGTATTACACTGCTCCTGTGAATGAAGTGGTGGCCCTGCCGGAAACAGATGTGGTGACCCTGCTGGAAGCTCCTACTTCAGGTCAATGTCTATAAAAGCACCCTCAGCTGCCAGTGCTGCTGCTGCTGCCTCTGCCTTTGCCTCCTCTGACACTAGGACTGCCTCCTCCTCTAATATTCTAATAAGAGCATAGTAGCTCTTATTCCAGTCCTTCTTGCCATAGTGGCAAGCCCCTGTCTCAGGATACTCGTCTGGGTGAAAAGGATATTGCTAGTCTCGGAGGATCTAAGTGATCAAGTGCACAAAAGGAAAGAACTTAGCCCTCTTGGGATTTTTCTTGCCGATGAATGAATCGTAGAACTTTATTATGACAGTCTAATAGAGGGCAAGGACTAAGAACCAATGATCTATGTAGAAAGCATAGGGGGCTGCTAGAAAGTTTGCACGCCTCTGAATCTTATGGCCCGCCATGAAAACATTTTGATACAAGACCGAATCAAAGAACCATAGGTCGTCGGGCAGATAGGTCCTAGTGGTAAATGTGTCACCGACACTAGCAGGGCCATTACGAGCTATGGCCATGGCTGAATAGGGTGGCCGCTGGAGAACTGGATAGTCAGGGCAAATGTGTGGGCACTGAGAGGTTGTAGCAAGCGTCTCAACTGTAATGCGGATGGGATAGCCATCATTAGAGGTCCGCAACTCTGCCAGGTTACTCGGGGCCGGCTGGAGATTCTGGTAGAACAACCGAACAAGCCTCTGGTAAACTGGATTGGCTACTAGGGCTAAAATAGGAGAGATGTTGCGCCTGTAGATCTCATCATAGGCCACTTGGTCATGGCCGACCGGGCAAAGAAAGTCTTATCAAATACGGACTTGTGCGCCACTAAAAGGCACAAGAATCTGGGCTCAACCTGGTCATGGGCCATGCCAGGCTATGCCGATGGTGGTGCTGGAATAGGTAATGGGGGTGGCGTGTGCGCAGCCTCCAGAGCTGATGAAGATGAAAAGGCAGCTGCAGAAGAGGAGGAGTGCTCAGCCTCCTAAGTAGGAGCTAGCTCCTCATGCTCCTCTACCCGATGTTGCACCCTACGCTCATATATCCGACGGGCAGTGGTTTTAACTCGAGCCATGGTCTACAAAAAGAAAGAAACACTTGCAAATAAAGTCAGTAATAGGAAACAGTATATAAGATACAGAATTGAAAGCACACAGATAGAAACATGTTTGTCAAGTTAAGATAGACAACTCAGAATAAATTACATGAATCTATGAAAGTGATAATGCAGCCAAGTATAAGCATTGAATAGTGAGACATGCTATACATGATAAGTATGAAATGTAACCAATGTGGAAAATATAGGCATTGGGCATAATTATAATAACGTGAACACAAATGAAGGTGCAGGGGTATCAATAAGAAAGCAGTGAAGTTCGATCCATCATAAAAAAAAAATGGGATTGATCCAAGTTGGATCGATCATGAGATGGATTGGATCGATCGAACTATGATCGATCAGAGCTTGGATTCAATCAATCGAACCTATGGAAAAATATGAATAGTCACGAATCCGGGACGTGGACAACACGGGGGCATCCGAATATGCTCGTGGGCCATTCTACACCTCAACAATTCACAAATGGTCATTTAAATCGGCACGTGACCCCTGAAATCAAAGTTAGAAATAAAATACATACATATATATACATATGCTTCAAAACTTCAAAAATGGCAACAAATCAACATGGAAGCTTGAGATCCAAACATGGCAACATGGAAAACACTAGATGAAGTTCGAAAATGGAAAACAAAAACAAAAACTTACAAAAAACGAGGGAGAGAAGTGGACTGAGAGAGAGAAGATGAGATCGAGTGCAAAGATGGAAGTTTGGAAGCCTTAGGAGGTCGCTGGAGTGTCACCGGAGGTGGGGAAGATGAAAGAATGTCGTCGGGAAAAAGAAGAAACTTTAGATTGATGTAAGAATCGATCTAAATGACCCTTGAGTCATTTTAAAAAAAACTAATCCCGACATGCTCGATTGATCATAGGAGTGATTCGGTCGATTGAAAATGGATTGATCATGAGGATGAATGGATTGATCGAACCCATAAGGCAACAAAATATTTTTGAATTTTTGGAAAATTAAAAATATTTTTGGATTTTTGAAAAATATTTAAAATGTTTTGAATTTTTTTTTTTTTAAGAAACTGAAAAGTATTTTTGGATTTTTGAAATTTTGAATTGAAAAAGTTAAAGTCAAACGGGAGAACACAGATCGATCAAACATTGATCGATCGAATCTTGATCGATCCAACAGGTAAAAACCTGCAGGGATCTTTGAACGATACATAGAGAGGTATTTTCAAAGCTTCAAAAAAATTTCTAAGTATAGAACTGAGATCAATCCAAGGGAAAGTTGGATCGATTCAATAATTCTTAGATCGATCTGAGAGGAAAATTCACACGATACACAGAGAGATGAAATATACAGGAAATTTTCGCACGATGGAACAGAGAGATGAGAGTATGCAGAGATGATGTTCGATCGATTGAACTTCCTTTTGTGATTGATCGAACAGGCACTAAATGCTTAATTTGAAAATGTAGGTGCAAGCATTCTCTATCAAAGTCCCAAACAATGTTTATGACCCTAGAACATATCTAGACGACGCAAAAAAAAGAAAAGTAAAATAGAAATGAGGGAGGAATAGGGTTGTAAGCCTTTCAAATCACTAGTGTGTAGCATCTCTAGTAAGACGTTAGACTCTTTTAGCCCAGATCAAAGATCTTGTTGTGCATCCCCTCCTTCATGGGGTGAAATGACTTTTGAACCCCATCCAACAAACTATTCCCTAGGGAACTTATTGGATTTGATTCAAATGGAGTTGACGGTCCTTTGTCAAACAAATCATTGGGCTTTCATGCCCTTACAACTCTTAGTTTTGAAACATTTCTCTTTAAACTCTGTTTTGAAAATAAGTTATTCGAAATTCCATTGTCAAGCAAAGACTCATGTTTTTCAAGTTCATTTTCAAGGCACTTTTCCATAACACACACTTCTTTATGCTTGTCCATTGAATTCGGGGTTGGATTAAATATGTTCAACTTCACCTTCAGATGCCTAAATGAAATTTTCATTATCACCATCTTAAAATTTATGTTGGCATTAGCGGTTGCCAAGAAAGGACGGCCAAGGATATTAGGAATTTGGCTCTAAGGGTTTGTGACCGGTTCTGTGTCTATGACCACGAAATCAACCGGGAAGAAGAATTTATCAATTTTAATCGACACATCCTTAATAATACCCCGGGACTTTTTAATGGAACGATCGGCTAGTTGCAACACTACCGACGTCGGTTTTAAATCTCCTAAGCCCAATTGAACATACACCAAGTATAGAAGAAGGTTCACACTTGCTCCTAAATCAAGAAGAGCCCGATTAATGACATGGTCACTAATGATGCAAGAAGTGGTAGGTGAACCGAGGTCTTTGAATTTTAGAAGTGAGTTATGTTGCAATATTAAGCTCACTTGCTCGGTCAAGACAACTTTCTTTGGTGATTGGCTCTTGTTCTTCCTCTTTTGGGTGCAAAGATCATTCAAGAACTTGGCATAAGCCAAAATTTGTTTAATTGCATCCAAGAGAGGAAGATTAATCTTCACTTGCCTAAACATTTCAATTATTTCATCAGCCTTGGTCTTTTGCTTTTCAAAAGAAATGGATCCTTTTAAGGCCTCCAGAAATGGAGCTTTTGGCTCAAAAGCTTTTTCAAAAATCTTTGGGGAATCACTTTCAACACAAGAATATTTCAAATAATTTTTCAAAATTTTCTCAACAAAGGGTTCATGTACATGCAACGAAGGAAGAATAGGATGTGAAACAGGACGGGTGTCAACTTTTGGTTGCACCAGTTCACTTTCTTCATTGTAAACTCCAACTTGATTTTCAACAATTTTTCCACTTCTCAAAGTTGCCACCGCATTGACATATTCAATTGTGTGACCTTTCGAGGAGGAATTGGTCTCCATAACAAATTATTTCTTTGGTGGTGGATTCAAAGGCATCTTCCCCTTTTCCCGAGCATTTAAGGTACTAACTATTTGCCCAACTTGGGTTTCTAGCTTCGCAATGGATTAAGAATGGGAATGAAGTAATTGGGTGTTCATTTCCAACGTGCCCAAAGCGGTCAACACTTTCTCCTCAAAAGCGGGATTCCTAGAATTCCCTTGAGAATATGAAGATTGATTAGGAAAATAAGAGTTAAAAAATTGATTTCCATGTGATGATTGAAAAGATGATCTATAACCTTGGGAACCTTGGCTTTGTATTTGGGGCGGAACATACTTGCCTTGAAAACCACCTCGGGGAGGGTTTAACCCTTCCTCTTAGCTTTTCCAAGAGAAGTTTGGATGGTTCCTCTACCCAGGATTGTAATGTGTGCCATAGGGATTATTCCCTTGGTTGACAAATGCGGCATTCACTTACTCATGGTGCTCACTTTGCACATGTCTATGGGGACAATTGGAAGTAGAATGTAAGACACTAGAACAAGTCATGCAAGTCTCATTGGAATTATGATAAGAATGGTTAGGGGAGGACGACATTTGATTCATCGAATTTTGGTTGATAAAAAAATTGATCAAACCTTTGAGATAAAGACTTGACTTCGGGTGCTATGTCATTGGAATTGTCAACTTGATATAAGCCGACATTTTTCCTTCCACCTAGATTTCTACTATTTTTGGAAGACAAGTATCGATGCATTGAATTCTCACTCATGCTTTCATAAAGACGCCATACATCATTTTCATGCTTATCAAGATAAGAACCACCCATAGATGCATCAACCATACCCTTGTGATTATTCGGCAAACTTTCAAAGAAGTATTGAACTAATTGCCACTTGGGCATGTCATGATGTGGACACTTCCTAAGCAAGTCATTAAATCTTTCCCATGCCTCATGAAACAACTCCCCATCCCTTTGAGAAAATTCACGAATAGAAGCTCTCATAGCATTGGTCTTTGAAACTGGATAGTACTTTTTCAAGAACTCTTGTTGCATTTTCGACCAAGAAGTTATCGAAAAAGGCCTAAGATTGTTGAACCAATATTTTGCTTTATCTTTAAGGGTGAAAGGGAAGAGTTTTAATCACAAAACATATTCCTGCATGTCTGTGTATTTCACGATGGAGCATACTTCTAGAAACTCATCCAAATGCTTGTACGGTTCTTCACTTAGAAGTCCATGATAGTTAGGAAGCAATTGAATAGTTTGCGATTTAATCTCATAGTGATGTGCTCTAAAAGGGGGCAATTGAATGCATATAGGTGCATTGTATTCATTTGGCACATAATGATCACGCAAAGTGAGATGAGGATTCACAATTGGAAGCTCAACATAAGCCCTATGATTTACTTAAGCAACGGGAGGTAGGGGTGGAACAAAAATTGGCCAAGGCATTCCTAATGGAACTTAGCCTTGTTGTTATGAAACAAATGGTCTTGGCATGCCTAATGGTACTTGGATGTTGACATGATGCAAATTTGGGTAGAGGATACCTTGTTGGTCTATATGACCAAGGTCCTCCACACGGTCCTCATTGATGTCTTCCATTAATGAAATTGAATGACTAGAATTACCCCTTCCCTTAGAATTACGAGCAATGGATTCAAGATTCAAATTAAGTGGGACAAGAATAGGATTTAATAACCTATGACCATGCATGCACAAACAAAACATAAACAAGTAACAAGCAAGTAGCAATCACTTCTCCTCAGCAACAAACCAACAATTAACAATCCTCCACATACGATGATCCCATACTCCCATGCTTTGAACAACATACAAGAAAGATTAAATTGCCTTCACGTGGGCTCACGATTTATCTACGAATTTAAAGAATCGCCACCATGCGGGTCGACGATTTGACTAGAGATAGAGTTAGAAATGCTCACAGAGGGTCCTTAAGCAACTTCAAATTATTTTTTAATTTTTGCTTTGCTTTGTAAATTTTTAGATTTTTGAGTTTTTTTTTTATGCTCTTGCTTAGCTTAGCTTGCTCCTTGCTTTAGAATTTTCCTTTGCTTCACTTTCCTTGCTCAATTCACCTAGCTAATCAAGAACAAATACAATAAGTAACCAAAATAAAATAAAATAAGAACGATTAAAAGAGTACTAATTCCTAATTGTTTCCAAAATATGGCGTTGCCTCAAATCCCTGGCAACGGTGCCAAAACTTGGTGTGTGTCATCCCAATGCACCAAATTGCATGCAAAAGTGGAGTGTAGTGTGGCCAAGTTTGAATTTATAGAGTGTCACTACCCCTTCTAACTATAAATATAGCTAGGGTGAGTAGGGATCGTCCCAAGGAAAAAAAGGCAGTATTTGTATGGAAATAATGTTAGATTAGTAGGTCGAGTGATCAAAAGATGGTTTGTTTGATTGATTAACTACAATGTCCATTAAATGCATGCAAGGTAAAGCAATTGAAGTAGAGTAAAATGTAGAGAATAATAGAGGAGGGTCTTGGGACTTAGAGGCCACCACTAAGAATCACCTTCCTAGACACTCAATGTGTAATGAATGAGGGGGATTATGTGTTGCAATATTAATGTGTGTCATTAATTGAATCAACAAACATGGATGACTAAATAAGTATATATTGTCTAGACAAACTAGTGAATACATAATATATCAAATTGAGCCGTTAATCCTTCCTTTAAGTCCACAATCAATGAACATCATTAAATTAGAGAAATATACTACATGCATTCATAAGCATGGAACATCAAACAACAAGCATGGATTATCCTCCCATCTAAGAAAGTAAAGCAACTGCACTACAACTAAGCTAGGGATATGAAAATTAAACTAATTAAACTAAGGAAGAGGCATAATCCACTAAGAAATGAGTATGAACCATCAAATAAACCTCAAGGGTATTCCATTTAAGCACCATGCCTTGACCATCACCAGATTCATAACATCAACACACATAGACATGCATTAATATCACAAAACCTAGAGATGAACACATGAACATCTATTCTAGCATACATAGACATATGAATAGAATGAAATGATCAATTGGAAGTATTAAACTACATAAATCATGGTAAAAACAAGATTTATATATATATCAAAGGTCAAGACAATAATTACAACACTAATTCCCATTAATTACAAAACATCAAAGTCTAGGAGGCATTCTTAAGGCTAGCTCTAGCCCTAAGAAGATGTTTAGCCACTCATTGATGTTGTCATCTAACCCTCTAAGGCTATCTCCATGCTAGAAATGATCTTCTTCCTCCTTGGTGGAAACCCTAGAAAAGAGGAAAAACTTTCATAATTTGAGTATTCTCTCTTTAATCTCTAGCCAATTCTCTCTAATCTTACCAACCTCCTTACTCAAAATAGCCAAAATCCTTATATAGGTAGCTCAAATGTCACACTTAATGATTAAACCTCGTGCACTAGGACCTCCTAATGATTGCACCATGAGTACACAATTAATTTGGCTTGAAATCAACTTTTCACGTAACTCAAGGCAATTCGATCGATCTCAAGGTTGGTTTGATCGATCGAACCTTGGTGGTGCCTTTTTGGAATAAAGATAAAGCTGAGATATTTTTGGGAAAAGGACAAAAGTGGTAGGTGAGGATAAGATCAAAGATGTTCGATCAATCGAAGAATTGTTGGATCGATCGAAGAGGGTATTTTACTAAGGATAAGGGCTCGATCCATCTTGGCATTCTTGGAATGATCACTATGTGATCGATCTGAGATTTGTTCGATCAATCGAAGAGTGCTTCCTTTCACCAACTTGCTTCCACTTTGCTCCTTTTTTCCATTGAGCTTGAGATTGCATATTTTATGCTCTAATTCAGCTGGATTAACTTATTTTGGGGATAAGTGCCTGAAAAGGGAAATAACATGGAATTAGACTAAAATAGGAAAATAAGATAGAACTTTCAAGCTTAAGGGGTTTAAATGCGCATTTTTTAGCACTCATCAAGAGCAGAAGAGGATGCAGCTATAGAGGAGACAACCGACAGATCACCTCCCAGATAGAGGCATCACACTACTACTTCAGCTTCTACCTCACAGCCAAATGTACCTACTACATCTCAGCAAGCTGACCCTTGTCATGTCCCTCCTACCGAGCCTCTAGCACAGACTGACACTCGATCTCGATATGCCTGTACTGATTCTAGTTTTAGATATAATGTCACTTAGCAGCACACAGACTTCATTTCCTTCAGAGCTAATGTAACCGGACGACACAAGGATATCACGAGGTGGCATGATGATTTAGTGAGGAGACATGATGATCTACTGAGGAGGCAGGATGACTTGATGACAGATGTAGCCGAGGTGAGGCGTGAGCTTGGAGCATTGAAGATTGACCTTACAGCTTCTCTCACTCGACACAGCTATGAGATGTTTGACATGATGTGGCAAATTGCTGACATGATGACTCCAGATCCTACTACATGATTCCACCATTTTCTCTCTCTACTACTCATTATCTTACCTGATACACTGCTATTACTGAGATATTTTTGCACTGCACTTGCTATATATTGATTTTTAGATATATGGTTTTGGATTCACTTGTTATATATGGATTTTTGGGATTTTGATATCCGTTTTGGATATTCTGCGCTTTATATTGATAGATGCCATGATTTTTGCCCAGTTCTCAGTTTCACCTCTCATTTATATCATTGATGCATATGCTTTGACAATTGCTAGTGTGACCATTTTTAGATAGGTTTCTGGATTCTAAGTTTGAGGGTGCGCCTTCCAAAGTTAAGCTTCCATTGTCGGGTCCCTTTTGCTACACCCATTTGGTATACTCTTTCCATTATCTGTTTCTTCTTTGCACATTGAGGACAATGCACAGATTAAGTTTGGGGGTGTGTTAGCGTATTTTACATGTTGCACTCAGTTTCTACGCATGTGGTATAATTTAAGAGTCTTGAGCTATGATTTTGATCTTTTGAGGACCATGATACTTAGAATTTAAAAATTGCTTGACTTGAGAGTCCAATACTCCTTGTATGCTTTGTGGATGCCATTTAGGAGTAAATTTTTCGAAAGATTGATATCTTGCTTGCATTTGTGGTCCGCATCATCCTAATTTTGTGATTGTTTTGAGATTCACTCTAAGATTCTACACTAGCACAGGCGCACACTAGCATTTATTTGTGGGGTACATGCTTTGTTGACTATTGATTTGATTATATCCCAATTGAGCTAGCAGTGTAATGAAAACTTTGATTCTTGACAAAGGTGGATAACAAACCCTTTTCATTATGTAGCTGGGATTCTAGCCTCATTAAGCACTAAATTTCCTACGCCGAAAGTTGGAGAGCCAAACTCTAGGTTAATAATTGAAAAAAAAAAAAAAAAATGTGAGGACTTCTCCCAAAAGGTGAGAAGTGGGAAATGATTAGATGGAGGTTGTTTTGATTTGTAGTATAGTAGATTTGAGTTAGTAAGTCCTTAGGGGTGTTTAAACACCTAATGCCCTAAAGCCATTTGGTTTGGGAGTCATTGACCTAATGCTCGACCTCATGGATCGCTAGAAAGCTTAATAGATCAACACATTGCACCATGTTTCCATCTTTGATCTTCTAGGTTAGTAAATAAATAAATAAATAAAAAAGAAGAAAAGAATAAGTGCACCTAGTTAAATAAAGCTTTAATAAAAGGTCAATTCTTTGTTTTGATGATCAGTACTAGATTTGTGTGCTAGTTTGAGGCCAAATGCGATCAGTTCTTTAGTTAGCTTAGATAGTAACATATTTGATGCTGGTTCACTTAAAAAGGATTCTAGAGTTTTTTTGATTTGCATGATCATTGTCTTAATGTGTGGAGGTTCATACTTGTTTGCTTGGAGTTGAGATTTTGGGAGATTGCTTAGAAAGGGTTGAAAAATTGCATACTTGAGGTAGTTCTCTCCCAATGCTTGTTCTGTATGTTGGTGCGTCTTTAGTGAAAAGGAGCTCAATGTTTGTGGGTGTCATTTCTAGAATCCCTCACGAGACTTCACTCGTCCGCTAGGGGTAATCTAAGGGTTTAAAAGGCTCGTTGCATATGTTAAATGCAATCGCGTTCTCTACGAAAGTGGCGTTATCCTTTTATTGCTTTCTAGTTCGTAGTTACTTAGATGTTTATTTCTTTATTTTCTTTGTAGTTCATTGCTAGGGACTAGCAATATCTAAGTTTGGGTGTGTGATGAGTACTCAAATGTGATGCATTTTAGCACCTAAGCTAGGGCATTTTAGTCCATTCATCTATCTTACTTTCATGTTTTAGTACTTATTTGTGTTTTTGCCTATTTCAGGTCAATAAAGTTCAAACAGGCTAAAAAGAGCCATTTAGCTCACATTTGAGCTAAGGAGCAAACCTGGAAAGAAGTTAGAAAAATTGCATTAGTGGAACTTTGATTAATCGAAGGAAGTCTCAATCAATCGAAGAAGGCTACAATCGATCAAAATCAAGGCAGTGCTAGCTCAGTAATCTGGATAAGGCCAAGAAGATATTTTCATGACATGTCATCTTCGATCGATCGAAGTAAGTGTTTGATCGATCGAAAACGCTTCGATCGATCGAAATGACTACTGGCAATGTGTTGTCTAATTCCCGTGCGCGCCTGGACTCTACCAACTTTTGTAGCTGTGACTTTTCACCAATCAGAGGCAGTATTTCTGATTTACTGCCTACTCAAAGAGGCTTGTAATAGATTAATTAAGCCAATTTTGTAGAGATTTACACAAGTAGATATTTACCAATTATAGAAATAGTTTCTCTCTCTAGAACTAAGGTTTGTGAAGAAAGCAAGGATGAAGAAGATGATGCCAACCTCAAAGTTAACCCTTGAGGGTTCCATGGCCACTACAATGAGTAGCTAAATCCTTCTCTTGGGGCTAGAGATAGCCCCTAGGATTGCTTCCTAAACCTAGCTTTTTGTATATTTTTGGGGATTTTAGTTGTAATTAATGTTTTAACCATAAATAAATATAGATCTTTTGAATTTTACATGATTTGTATGGATTAATGCTTTCAATTGATCATTTAATTCTATCCATATGTCTATGTATGCTAGAATGAATGTTCATGTGCTTTTCTCTAGATTTAATGAAATTGATGCATGTCTATGTGTGTTGATGTTATGAATCTATTGATGGTCAAGGCATGGTGCTTAATTGATTACTCTTGTGGTTTATTTAATGGTTCATACTTATTTTTTAATGAATTGTGCCACTTCTTCAGTTTAATTAGTTTAACTTTCATGTCATTAGCTTAGTTGTAGTGTAATTGCTTTAATTTCCTAAATAGGTGGACAATGCACTCTTATTGTTTGATGTTCCATTCTTATGAGTGAAAGAAATACATTTCTCTAGATTTTTGTATGTGCACTAATTGTGGTTTAATAAATGGTTAATGGTTTTGTTTGATAGTTTGTGCCATTCACTAGATTGATTAGACAATCTATGCATATTTGCCATCCATGCTTAGTTTTAAATTGGTGATACACACACATATTTTACAACATGAATTTCCCCATTAATTTACAATTGCTAGTGTTTGGTGAAGTGAAGCTTAGTGGTGAACTCTAAGCCCCATGACCTTTCTCTCATATTACTTTCTCTAATTTCTAAATTGTCACTTAATTACATTGTTTTCATTGAACCATTAGTTAACTAAACAAATCAAATCCCTCTTTTGATCATTCGAACTACTAATCTAACATTTATTCCAAAATACCATTCCTTTCCCTTGTGATGATCCCTATTTACTCTTGCTATGTTAGTAGTTAGTAGTGGTAGTGGCATTCTACAAACTTAAACTTGGCCACATTTCATCACACTTTGAGCTTTGGTTTGTCGGAGCGATGACACATTGTCCGCACACCAAGATGCACCAATGATCTAAACAAGTATTGAAAGAAAACTACCTCAAGTATGCAATTTTTCAATCACCTTTAAGTAATCTTCCAAAATTTCAACAAGTAAGCAAGTATGGTCCTTTACACATCAAATAAGATGATCATGCAAATCCAAACAACTGTAGAATTCTTTTTGAGTGAACCGGCATCAAATATGTTGCTATCTTAGCAAATTAATGAAATGGTCACAACCGGTCTCAAGCTAGCACACAAATCTAGTACCGATCATCATGACAATGAATGAACCTCTTTATTTCAATTTATTTCCTACTTTGTCTTTTTTTTTTTTTTCTTTTTTTTTTTATTTTTTTTTTTATTTTTTAGGATCAAAGACAAGGGTATGGTGCAATGTAGTGATCTCTTAAGCTTTCTAGAAAATCCATGACTCCAAAACCGGACAGCTTTATGGCATTACGTATAGAGACACCTCAAAGGACTTACAAGCTCAAATCAAATAGGCTACAAATCAAAACAACTCTCATCTAATCATTTCTTACTTCCGACTTTGGTGAGAAGTGCTCACTTTATTTGTTTTTGCAAATATCATAATTTTTTTTTTTCGTGTAAAAACTGTCGTGTGGGCCTTCACCTTTCATGTGAGAGTTTGGTGCTTAATGAGGCACGAATCCTGGTTACTCTGTTAAAGGTTTGTTATTTAGTATGCAAGGTCATCTTCTCCATAATGAAAAATTTCAAAGCACTACTAGCTCAATTGGGATATAACCAAATCAATGATCAACTAAGCATGTATCCCACAAATGAATACTAGTGTGCGCATGTGCAAGTGTAGAACTCTAGAGATGAATCTCAAAATAATCTCACAAACATGATAATGTGAACCACAAAAGCAAGCAAGATATCAATCTTTTGAAAATTTTTGCCCCAAAATGACTTCCAAAAGGCATAAAAGGAGTGTTGAACTCACAAGTTAAGCAGTTTTTAAATTCTAAGTATCATGGTCCTCAAAAGATCAAAATCATCGCTAAACTCTTAAATCATATCACATGTATAGAAAATAAGTGCGACATGCCAGAATATGGTAACAGACCCCCAAACTTAATCTGTACATTGTCCTCAATGTACAAAGATTACAACAGATAGTGGAAAGAGTATACCAAATAGGTGTAGCATACAGAACCCGACAATAGAAGCTTAGCATTGGAAGGTGCACCCCCAAACTTAGATTCCAAAAACTAGTCTGAAAATGGTCACACTAGCAACTGTTAAAGCATATGCATCAATGATAGAAATGAGAGACAGAATGGAGAACTGGGTATGAATGGGCAAAATCATCATGGCATATAGCAATTTCAAGCTCAGAATAAGCAATCCAATTCTTTTCGACAAAATTCCATTTAAAATTTTGATACTATAACACGAGTTACATCTTCTTTTTTTCAATTTCAAAAACTTTGAACATCTCAACTCCAAATTCTAAATAGTCAAAAACTTATATGCATGTTAGGAGTTTGCAAAATTTCAATATCACATTTCAGTTTTGGATACAATTCATATTTAGATTCAAACCCAAAAAGGATAAATATGCACCCAGTTTCTATTTACAATTCTATAATATCAAAACACAAAGCAATATAACCACTCTAATCTCAAAAATAAGCCAACAACATTGCCCATTCATTTAACCACAGTCCATTTTTGAGAATTACAACAGCAAATCCAGTTCTTTTAAGTCACATCCTCCTTTTAATCAACAACAAACAACACACAATCCATAATGTCAGCCTATTCTGCACAATAATAGTATACTGCCCAACCCTCTTTTCACAATACAACACAGTGTAAAACAAACAAGTTCCAGTGTTCCATTGCCCAATCTCCACTTTTTAATTTCAGTCCAATTATATTTTTCAATTTTCTGCTTTTCAAAAATTTTTTTTTTTTTAGTTTAGTTTCATTTAAACATAATGAAATATAAACAGATTAAATAAAGAAGCATATATATACAAGATGGATATGGAAATTAAAGCAAAATAAAATAATAAAAAAAATGAAAAACAAAAAAAAAATGTATAATTCCACATACCCGCGTGGGAGAGAGAGGAAAAACAAAGGGCAAATGAGAAATCTGAGAAGTTTCCGACTAACCGTGGCTGGAAAAGATGAGAAGCCGCCGAATTTTAAGTTGGAAATTACAGGTGGGCACTAGTGAGTTCTCCTTAGCCTAAGTCGACTAGGGAAGAGAGAAATAGAGAGACACCCAAAATGAGGGAAAAATTCGCGACGAAGGAAAAGCTAGGCCGTTAGGCCAAGAGCTTGATGACGACGAGATGCAGTGGCGAAAAAGGTCTTCGTGTTTCATCGGAAATTGAAAGGTGGAGAGAGGAGAGGTGGCTCGCGGGGGTTGTGGTGCCTTCAATGATGGTAAGTGGTGGTGGGTTGGGTGAAGTAGGGTTGCTGATGGTTGTTGTGGCAAGGTTGAGAGGGGAAGAGATGGAGTCGGGGAGAGAGGGAGGAAGAGAGAGAAAAAAAGGAAGAAAAAGAAAAGAAAAAGGAAAGAAAAGAGGAGAGAGAAGAAAAGAATGAACGGCCAAAGTAGCTTTCTCAAAATTTAAAAAGATGTCATTTCAATCGATTGAAAATATCCTCAATCCACCAAGACTTATTTACGATCCTTCGAGAGTGAAAATTGAAAGACTTTTGTCTCCAGTTCGATCGATCGAAATAATGTGTAGATCAATAGAAAAAATTTTGTTCGATAAACTAGGAGATGAAATGTTTTAATTTACAGATTCGATCGATCGAGAGGTGCTTCGAGCGATCGAAAAGGTCTTCGATTGATCGAATAAGGGAGATCCTGAGAGCTATATTCAAGGCAAAATGGGGCTCTGCAGAATTCGACTAATCGAAAATGGTCTTCGATCGATCGAATATGACACTGAAAATGCAGAAATTGCTTAAAACTGCCCGGAAACTCAAATGAACACCTCAAAACATATCTAGATGACACAAAAGAAAATAAAAGAAATAAATGAAGGAGGGATAGGGTTTGAAAACCCTACGAAGGACTAGTGTTTAATGTCTCTAGCAAGGCATTGGGCTCTTTAGCCTGGATCAAAGATTTAGCCCGGATCCTGGCAACGACGCTAAAATCTAACGGAGGTCACTTGCATACATCAAATTGTGTGAGTGTGAGAGTGGTTCAAGTAACCTTTGAGGTTAAATTTAAATTTATGAAAGTCACTACTACTTATACTACTAACGTAGCATAAAGTGAGTAGGGATCGTCCCAAGGGATTTGCAAGGTATTCGGAATCAAATTCGGGTTAATAGGTCGAATAATCAAAGAGAGGTTTGGTCAGTTGAATTAAGTTACAATTCAATTAAAAACTTGCAAAGTAAACAAGCTAAAATTATTAGGGTGTAGAAAATGAGAGAGAGATCTTAGGGCATAAAGTTTACCACTAAGCTTCACCTTTCTAAACATCTAGCATTTGTCAATTTAAGGGGGATTTAATGTTGTAAAACAAGTATGTGTGTGTGCCAACAATTAAAACAATAAGCATGTATGACAAAACAAGCATAAATTGTTTACTTAAGCTAGTGTGTAGCACAACTCATCAAGCTAAGCCATTAACCATTCAATAAACCCACAATTGATGCACACAAAAATCTAGAGAAATGAACTACTTGCAATCATAAGAATGGATCATCAAAAACAAGTATGGATTGTTAACCTATCTAGGAATTTAAAGATAACTACACTACAATTATACTAATGACAAGGAAATTAAACTAATTAAGCTAATAAAGTAGAATAACCCATTAAGCATAAGTATAATCCATCAAACAAATCACAAGAGTAACCAATAAGCCACATGCCTTGACCATCATTAAATTCATAATTCCAACACGCATAGACATGCATCAAATTAGTAGAATCTAATGTAAAGACATAATCATCCATTCCATTATATATAGACATATGAATAAAATGAGGGATTAATTGGAAGAATTAATCCATACAAAACATATAAAAACTCAAGATCTATATATAATCATAGGTCAAAGCATTATTTACCACTAGAATCCCTAAAAATAACAAAATACTAAAGTTTAAAAGGTAAGCCTAGGGCTATCTCTGGCCCAAAGAAGATGATCTAGCCACTTATGGTTGTTGTTGTTGAACCCTTAAGGGATTTCTTCAATGTTAGCACCATCTTCTTCCTCTTGCTTCGCTCTCCAAAAACCCTAATCTAAAGAGAGAAAATTATGTCTAAGTTATCAACAACTTTTAGCTAAAAGTTGGAAACCCACAAAAATTGTCCAATTTTGATTTAAATACAAGCCTCTTTGAGTAGGCAACAAGTCAAAAAATAGGCCTTTGATTGGTCTAATCCCGCAGCTACAAAAGTTGGTGGCGTTCGGGCGCACTTAGGGGCTTCGATCGATCGAAGAAGACTTCGGTGGATCGAATATAAACATAATGCAACCCCTACCTCACTAGAATAGAGATATTCTTGAATCCAAGGAAAAATGAAGCAAAGGGGGAGACCAAGAAAAGGTGTGGTTGAGGTGGATGTGAGGAAGCTTTTGTCTTCCAAGACTTAAGCCCAAATGTGAGTGGAAGAAGGTTGAAACAGAGGAATGGAGGCTAGGATTCTAAGATTAACAATGGAGTTTTTGGTGAGATGTTAGAGGAGATGCAAGCATTTCACAAGAAAATCCACTAACTAAAAGGCTTGTTAGGAAAAAAAAAATATCACCAACACTACCTCTCTCACACACAAGCACATCCACTCCCTCCACTTGTCAACATGTTAAGCCTCCTCACAAGATTAAATCTAGGCTATACATTTGTCAAAATCTAAGGCTAACAAGTGCACCAACAAAGAGCCAACAAATGGGTGAGTCTTCACCCTACACTTATCAAGATCCTAAGCTTCCTCATAAGGCTTAATCATAAGCCTACACTTGGCAAGATCCTAAGCTTCCAAGTGTTCCAACAAGAAGTCAACATGTGGTCCACACTTTTTAAAAATTACAAAATGGTCCTTCTCTAAAATATCTCAAATAATATTTGCAAAAAGGTCCCTAAGACAAAATATCTAGAAAAGATAATTACACAAGTACGCCAAAAAGTGAAAATGTTTCCAAAGAAACTATGCATCCATATCCTTCAAAATGTAAAACAAGCTAGCATGCTTTTTTACTAAATTAAATCATGAATAGACATTAAAATAAAATGAGGTGAATGCATGTGATGCCGGAAATCAAATCCGAACTCAAAACCCTAAGGTTACACGAAAAAGAATTAAACAATTAAATAAATAAAATAAAATAATAAGAAGAAAGAAAAAAAAAAATGAATGCCGAAAAAATGGGAAAAGAAAAAAGAAGAAACGGTCTTCATAACCTCCCCTCCTTAAAAGGATTTTGTCCTCGAAATCAAGCCGTACCTGAAATCGAAAACAAACCCAGATACCGAGAGCAAACATCATGCTCGAGCTCCCAAGTAGCCTCCTCGACTCCGTGGTGTCTCCACAAAACCTTGACCAATGGAATGGTCTTGGTCTATAAAACCAGCTCCTTGGTATCGAAAATCTGGACTGGACCCTCCTCGTAGGTCACATCCTCATCAACAACAATATATGTCCACCTCAAAACATATGATGGATCCGGCTCATACTTTCTCAACCTAGAGACGTGGAAAACATCGTGAACCCTATCTCGATCTGGCAGTAACACCGAACGATAAGCTACCTCACCAATGCAATCCAAAATCTCGAACGGTCCAATGAACCTAGGAGACAACTTGGCTGTCTGTCGAAATATCACAAGCTCTTGCGTGGAGAAATCTTGAGAAAGACATGGTCTCCTACCTAAAAAAATAAGGATCTTCTCTTCCTGTTAACGTAACTCTTCTGTCTACTCTGAGCTGTAGTTGATCTCTATCGAATCAATTTGATTTTCTTTGCAGTTTCAATAATGATGTCGGGACCTAAGGTGACCGTATCACCTACCTCGGCTCAACAAACTGGAGATCTGTAAGGTCTGTCAGATAACACCTCGAAAGGTGTCATGCCAATACTGGCCTGATAACTATTATTGTAGGCAAATTCAACTAAAGGTAAGTAGTCCTCCCAATTACCCCCAACATCTAAACTGCAAGCCCATAACATATCCTCCAATATCTGAATGGTACGCTCCGACAGACCATCAGTCCGAGGATGGAATGCCGTGTTGAAATGAAGCCCTGTGTCAAGAGCGTCCTAAAAACCCTGGCAAAAGTAAGACGTGTACCGAAGATCCCTATCCCAAACAATGGATATAGGAACCCCGTGAAGCCTGACAATCTACCTCACATATAGTCTACTAAGTCTCTCTGCATCATCTATCACTGTCATAGGCAAAAAGTGTACTGTCTTAGTCAACCTGTTAACTTTGACCCAAACGGCATCATTCCCTGCCTGGGATCTCGGAAGTCTCATCACGAAATCTATAGTAATATGCTCCTATTTTCACTCAGCTACGGGTAATGGTTGCAACAATCCTACTGGTCTCGGATGCTCTGTCTTCACTTATTGACAAGTAAGTCACTTAGCCATAAACTGAGAAACATCCCGCTTAATACCTTTCCACCAAAATTGTCATCTCAAATTGTAATACATTTTCATACCACCTAGATGAACTACGAGTCGAGAATGGTGAAAATCCTAAAGAACAACATCACGACAAGATAAAGGAATGAACATCATCCCCCTGTACCTGAGACCACTGTCTGAATGCAAGGTCCAACCCTCTACATTCTCGTTGCTTGAAATCAGTACATGGATGGACTTCATCTCCCTATCCTCCTGCTGTGCCTCTATAACCCTGTTAACTAGAGCTGGTTGAGCCACATGGCTAAATAAAATAGCCAGTGAAACATCCTCACACAATCGTAATCCAAGATCTACAAGCTCTTCTAACATCTTTCTTCTATGAATGCAAATGCTAGCAAGAGCACCCCGTGATTTCCTACTTAAAGCATCTGCCACCACGTTGCTCTTGCCTAGATGATACTACAACTTAAAGTCATAATCCTCTATGAACTCTACCCATCTACGCTGTCTCAAGTTTAAGTCTTTATGTGAGAAAAGATACTTGAGACTCTTGTGATCGGAGCAAACCTTAAAATTTTCCTCGTACAAGTAATGTCTTCACCTTTTCAGGGTAAATATCACTGCTGCCAATTCCAAATTATGTGTCAGATAATTCAACTTGTGAGTCTTCAACTGTCTAGACCTATAAGCAACTACCCGTTCTGTTTGCATCAGGACGCAGCCCAATCCTTCTCTAGAAGCATCACAATAAACCACGTAACCCAAACCATATTTAGGTATGATCAAAACTAGAGCCGATGTCAACTTGACCTTTAACTCCTGAAAAGCAAAGTCACAAGCCTCATTCCATATGACCTTGACTCCCTTGCGAGTAAGTCCAGTCACAGGTACTGCTAAATGAGAGAAATCCTGAAAAAATCTCTGATAATAGCTGGCTAGGCCAATAAAACTCCTGTGATGGCCATGGTTTTATAAGCCAGTGTATCATTTGATGACCAGAAGATTCATTCGATAACGGATCCCGGATGCGGAAGCGAAAACATAAACAAGGCCTTTAGAAATATACACCATCCCTAAAA